GGAGGTCCAGCAGTGGGGCCAGGACACTAAAAGCCCTCCCACTGTTGACCCCCCCCCCCAAGCACCAAGAATACAGAGCATCACTTGCCCCAGCCTGGGAGTTCCTATCTATACCTTGTGGCTAATAGCCACTGATGGACCTCTGCTCCATATGCTTATCTAATTCCCTTTTGAAGCCGTCCATGCTTGTAGCCGCCACCACCACCTCCTGTGGCAGTGAATTCCATGTGTTAATCACTCTTTGGGTGAAGAAGTACTTCCTTTTATCCGTTCTAACCCGACTGCTCAGCAATTTCATTGAGTGCCCACGAGTTCTTGTATTGTGAGAAAGGGAGAAAAGTACCTCTTTCTCTACCTGCTCTGTCCCATGCATAATCTTATAAACCTCAATCATGTCACCCCTCAGCCGTCGTTTCTCCAAGCGAAAGAGCCCCAAGCGCTTTAACCTTTCTTCATGGGGAAAGTGTTCCAACCCTTTTATCATTTGAGTTGCCCTTTTCTGCACTTTTTCTAATGCTATAATATCCTTTTTGAGGTGTGGTGACCAGAACTGCACACAGTACTCCAAATGAGGACGTACCATTGATTTATACAGGGGCATTATGATACTGGCTGATTTGTTTTCAATTCCCTTCCTAATAATCCCCAGCATAGCGTTGGCCTTTTTTTTTACTGCAGTCACACACTGTCTTAACATTTTCACTGAGTTATCTACTACGACTCCAAGATCACTCTCTTATGCTCAGATCACAGAGAAGGATACCAAGGCCCACAGGCCTAACCAACTGCCATGCCACATGAAACAAGTGTGCACCCCAGAATGTATTAAAAAAACACCTCTATTGTAGCACAGGGCAGAAAAGGCTGATTATAACAGACAAAATAGCAAATTTCTTTTATGAGGTATCTAGGAGGAGAGGCTCATATTAAGGCAATTCGGAATGTGATACCCCTCCAGCCTATCTTGAGGCTCTATGCTGCATGTGTATTTGATATTTTATGCCAATAAAGGTATTGTATTTGTATTTGTATTTGTAACAGACAAAATATCTTTGAGGAAAACTTCTCTGGCTATCCCAGGCCTTTTACTGAGAAACCAAGATTGCCTGGAACACGGGTTTAAAACCGTTCCTACATATCAACCACAGTATCTATTGTGGCACCTGTCAGTCAATCAAATCTAAAACTGTCCAATAGGGACTCCCTCCTACTCACTGCCTTGATAGGCATTTCAGCAGTGTATAAAGATGAAGTCAAAATGAGACTAGGATGTTGAATATGAATGAAATCTCTCTTAAAAATTCAGAAAGCTTTCTGCCTCACACAAGAGCTCATGAAAATCAAAACTGCATCCAAGTCCATAGGCTACATGCTGTTTGTAAACTGTCCAGTCATGTAACTGAATTGTTCAAATAACTCGGATGCTAAGGTACAACACTGCTGTTGTAACCATTAAACTCAAAGTGCCAAAGGAGGAATAATAAATCAAGAGGGTATTAAGCAATCTGGCTTAGTGATTCCTGGAATGTGGCCATGACAGAACTAATGAAATCTTCAAAACAAAGCAAATTCAGCACGTTCTAAAGAACTTTCTTTTTGGTATAACGTGCAAATTAAGCAATGCGTTCTGAGATAAAACGGTTTAGAGAACATTACTATACCCAATGATATGGTGGCTAGCCCCATTCATGAAAACAGCAAAACTAGACTGCCCATAGAAAAGGTATAGGACTCTACATATTCTGTGGACAACCCAGAGACGCAGAAAAATAAGACTGTAAATTAATTAGAAGAAGAAGACTCTGATGAATATACCGTTAGGAGTGTGGAACATTAGAGCAGATGAGTGTCAGTCAAAGGGGAAGGGTAAACCAGTCTGCTTATGCAGTCCTTTTTTTTTTTGCTTATGCAGTCCTGAAGGGGGATATCTATGGGTCTGAGGGATTTCCAAATTGCTCACCTTGGGCAATTCCTTATGGGCCCTCAGCATGTCTTTTGTATCACCAGTTAGCAAGAATTAGTGTACATAACCCCATTCTTATTTCCCCTTATCAATTCTCCTCAATGCAAGTCATCCCAAAGCACACTTACATGACATCTGCTAAATTATACGCAAGTTATACATAAACCAGAAGTGGATGAAGGAGAGCATTAGTTTAGGAAAAATCACCAGAGCATACTGGAATGAATTTTGCGAAGCATGTGACTGTCCTTTTAAAATGGAAGCAAGAAAGTACAGAGTGGAAAATCCTGAAATCTAGAACAAACTTTCCGATACAAGAAACTTTGGCGAAACCATACATTTCCTTTAAAACAGACCCCCAATTGGAGTTGTGACATTATCAAGAGGCATGACATATCACTCTGGCTTTGTTTTTTATTTATAGTATCTGTAATCTGTAGACCCGAGACTATACAATTCACCATTTCCAAAAAGGCATTTATGTTATCTGTAATCTGTAGACCCGAGACTATACTATTCTATATTTTAGGAAACTAGAGACTGGAGGGACTCGATGCATCATTTTAGTTTTGTGCCTATTCCAGACAGGATGCCTTCCATTTAAACTAACAGGCATAAAATCCCTTCTTTAAAAAACTGCTGCTATTAAATTTATTCAGACAGAAGATACTAATCCCTGACATTTTTATATACAGATAAAATCGTTTATGAAACTTATTTGGCATTCTTACAAGTAAATGTGACAGATACACATAGGTGTTACTTCTAGGACACAGCTTTATATGAAAGTTGATTTTACTGCAATTCATGGCAGCCAAAATGTCCAGTCTTTTCAAACCTCCCATGAACTGAAACTGCGCACCCTTTCTAATCAGTTTGTTCCATTACAAAATTTCTGTTATCGTAAGGAAACTATTCCTCATATTTGACATAAATGTACTTTACCATAGCTTAAAATCAGTAAAGGCCAGGAATCTTTGATTTACAAAGCAATCATTAGCTCAGGGTACTAGCGGCTCAATCCTATCCAGTGCAGTACCAACGGAGTAACTGCACAAGATTACACTGCAAACAATCATTATTTATAAAGTTCTTTCACAGCTCATATTTTTGTGAGCATGGTGTTACATGTCAAGTTTCTTCTTCTGAATAACAGAGAAGCATGCTGTGAAGTACAGATTAAGTTATGAGAGGCACAGCAATTCACACATACCATTCCATTTAAGTAAGATAAACTATATCTCTTCCCACTCTCCATATTCACCATTTCCAAAAAGGCATTTATGCTGTAGATCAACATTCTAACAAACCAAAGCAAGTCTGTCAACCTTAGTGTAGTACTCGGTCTCATACTTACATTCACACTGTATGACATCTAAGTTAAACTGCTGAATCGCTCCCATGCTTATTTGTTTTAAGTCATTATCCAACAGCATCTGCATCAGGGAGGTTGACAGATGCTGGCAAGCGGACATACAAGCAGTCTGTGCCACTTTCCCCTATCAAGAAAGGTAACAAGAATAAACAAGTACACAGGATCAGAATGTGCAATCTTCACCTACATTTACTAAGTTCAAGGCAACGAAACAGTTGTAATGTCCCAATTATAAGCAATTAGTTCTGCTTTAAAACAGCAGCTTCCTTTACAGGACAACCCTAAGCAGTTATACTTTAAGTGGTTTAGAAGGCTGTAGCTCTGTTTAGCATTGCACTGTTAGACTCTTAAACAATACTCAAACCGTTCCAAACAGTGTAAATGCGGACGGTATCACAAAGACATGTTCTTTGTAATGTTTGTGACTATGGTGGAAAAGCAATTAAAACTGACACATTACATACTTCAGCATCACACAGCGGAAAACACATGCTCACGGATTACTGACAACATGGACACTCTGAAACACTGCAGCACTCCACCCTTGCGTATTGGAATGTCCTGCTACTCTTTGCCACTTTCATTTGTATCTATAAACTTCTTTATTATCTGACGGAACCACTCTAAAAATCACATTTCCCAAGTCATATGCAGCCCTCTGCTGTTCAGAATTCACCTACATGTCAATGACTACATTTATCAGTGTGGTGCTTCACAGTGTAATTTGTAATATCTGTCATTGCCAGTGATTATTCTAAAAACAGATTAGAGCTAGCTGTGAACATGCTAACGTTTCCTGGGAACTGACTGCACATTTACTCAGAAGTAAACCCCATCACGTTCAATGAGTTCAATCCAAGTAAGCATCCATACAACTGATACCTTAGAATCACAGCTCATGTATTAACTCAAATTTAATTTGAATGAGAACTTTCCTCTGTAGCCAAATCTGATATTTTCTAATAAGTTAGACTGCCTATCATTTCAGAAGTTGAAAGACATTAGACAAAAAAGATGCTGCCAGTTAATGTCGCTAATTCATGAGTTAAAGTACTACAGCTTTTTTTAGAAATAACATCTGTCAATGCTATCGTATATTCTTTGACATAATAAATAGTAAACTTCAAAAGGAGAGAGAGGACAGCACCTAGCAAAACACAGTTAAGGTTTCATGGCCTGGACATACAGATCCCGACATTCACTGCATATGAAAACTGTGAAGTTGGTGGGCAGTTTTTGCAGGCAAGACACGGTATCCTTTGTTGTGTTGAGCTAAACAGTCAGTGCTATGAAACTCTTCCTTCCCCCCCCTAATTTCTATGTCTACCTTGTATGTTACAATATGTTCACATCTGTGAAAGCAAATTCTGCAGACCCATCCAATTAATGGGTATCCTTTAACAGAAATTTAAGTGAACTCTGTTCTGAAGCCAAAGTATTTGATAGGAACAGACCAAGTGTCAACAAATAACGCAAGGAATAAAGCACACCCAGCATGCTTAGACGTCTCCCAAACCCAGTGGTAATTACACTGGGAGACATGCAAGGCTACTCCCCAAACAGAACAATATCAATATGAATGGGGGGAAAGAAAGGAAAGAGGGAAGGGGGGAGGGAGAGAAGGGAGAACGAATCAATTAACTTAATTCAATTATGATGTAGCAGATTTAAGACACTTAATGGAAATGTCATTTTGATTTAATGGAACAACTGCATTTTGGTTTCATGCAGTGCTTCATCAAATCAGCTCCGTGTCCTATTTTTTTGTGCCACTGTAATGTAATAACAGTAAGCAGATTAATTGAGTTATCAAGAACAAAATATTTTAACATCCAATTCAATCCCACATATTGTAGACAGCACTGCTGCTGTTACAATATTCTATTTCACCTCTCTCACCAAACCTATGTGTTCAGCAATTTAAAGCTGGCATATCAATAGGTCTGGAGCACAAGGTAATGATTACAATAGATTAGATATGAAAAGTGAATTTCTATTATTCCTTTTGTTAGCTTTCATTCAAAATACATTAAACGCTTGTTATAAGTGATGTACAAATGCCAACACCCTAAAAATTAATACAACTGTTTTTAACTATGCACTCGGACTACAGGCTTATTGCTGTCAGGGCAGTCAAAGTAAAGCAAAAGGAGGAGAAAGAAACAGAACTGTTTAAAGTCTCTGAGTTTTACATTTTAGAGGAGGATAGAGAAGCAAGTCTGAGCTTTAACTGCACCTGAAATTGTTTTTATTGCTCACTTTTCCAAAAGTTTTTCAAAGATGTACTTAGCAAAATATAGGTCCTTCCGCACAGGAAGTACGCAAAACTGACAAAACAAATTTGCTTGTGTTTAATGGGATACTCATTTAAATTCATATTCATCAGTATAGCACTGTTGTCTATAGAATGCAGCAAGCGAAACATTTTGTTACCATTACTTCCTATTTCCTTTAAATGCAGTTTTTCAAGGACATATAAGAACACAATACTCATCAGTTAAAACACTGAATTAAAATCGTTCAGCTGCTTCCAAGTTCTCTTTAATTATTAGCATCAGAATACTGTTTAACATAACTACATTGATAAAACATATTTAACCTGAAGCGCCCTACAGCTACTAACACTTTTTGTCTTCATTACTCAAATTAAATGCATCTATCCAATACACATATTTCGTATTCCAACTTTGTAAGGCTCAAGAAATAAGGATTCTTTTATACATATATATAAAAAGGAACACCTGCTAGGAGTTAGGCATCTACATTTTACCCACCCCACATTTGCTGAAATACAAGTTTGTAAAAAGAGAAAACCCTTAGACAAACTTCTTATATTTCAAAGGAGTCTGTAAAAGAGAATCTGCTGACATGTTAAATCCTTTCTGTAGTATCCAAAAGCTTTTCTCCTAAGAACAATTGCTGTAAAGAGACGTTTGGCTCCTAGGAAATTCCCAAAGGGTCAGCCATATGCATCCTTCCATGGCACCTTTGCGGTGCAGCTTTCTAGACCCATGCTAGCTGTCTCAAAAGCAGCTTTCATCATTCACTACGGTGTCAGTCAATATGATTTATGGACTGCATTCAACAAAGTCAAAGCATATAGAATGAGAAATATGACTACAATCTGCTAATTTGTTTTGTATTGAGCCACTTAAGAGTCAAAGACCTGATGTCAGACTGAGCCCAGCAACACAATTAACCAGCCGGTGACAGATTCATCCATCCTCCCTGCCAGGCTGTGCCAATCAAGGACAGCATGAGACGGCATTTGGAAGAATCAGTAAGAAACCCCTTTCTTTAAGTAGCCTACGTGGGCTTTTGATTGACAGCTTCTGAATATCGCTTGCGGAGCACCACCGCCTTTTATCCAATAGTTCCTCACTGCAAGCTGTGAAATACGGCTTTTACTGCCAATCACAGGAACAATAAGACAATCCTCCAAGCAAACAGGAAACAACAAAAGTTGTCTGTTAGAGTCGAAGGAGAGCAAAAACATAGGGACAAATCCTTAGAGCCAGCACAAACCAAAAGGACCATAAGAACTACACAGTCCTCAAAAGGCAAATTGGCTTTAACTTCTAGTTGAGAAACTGGATAAGAGGACTGAACATCAATTACTTACTGTGGCATACAAGCTCTTTCGGCACATATCACTTTTTTCCCCCTCTGTGGAGAGCAATCTAGCAATAGGTTGGAACCAGTGGTTCTTCTTCCATTAATCAAGAAATATTTCATTGGAAGAGGACGTCCTTCCTCCAATAGTAGGATTTTTCCCCCAAGGAAAATTCCTAATTTAGCTAAATATTGGATCTAACCCAATATTCCCTCCCCCTTTCTGCTATAAATTATTATACATACATCTAATTCCCATGGTTAAGGAAGTGGAACTTTGTGAAGCTCAGTAAGTCAGAAGCTGGGATTGTGGCACCCTTTTGATTATGTATGTTCCATGTGTAAATTCTGGGACAGATAGTTGCCAGAGATTCTGTTCTTAAGGAAGATAGTTTCAGGTGGGTAGCCAGGTTAATCTGTAGTAGTAGAACAAATTTCAAGTCCAGTAACACCTTAGAGAACAACACAATCTTCCAGGGAATAAGCTTTTCTGAGACGAAACTCATCCGCCGAATGTCTATACCCTGGGACATTTGTTGGTCTCTAAAGTTGCTGCTGGACTCTGATTCCCACGCAGGCCTCTGATTCACCACTTATGCTGTTCCTACAGTCTCCTGTTCCCTAAGAACTGCAGTTTAGCGTGATCAATGGGCTGGCGCAGGAGGGGAATTCTGCCCTACTAACGCCTCCCACATTAGCAATATCAACATTGGGATCCAACCGAATTATTTGATTCCCCACCACCACCACCTTACAAATACTGTAGCATGATATGGGATTGTAAAATAAAATATTTGGTTCCCCTAAATGCAAGGCTTCAGGACACTTAAATGTGCTTATTTTAAAAATTACAAGAAAAACAGATAGATGCAGCTCCCGCAACATGTTTGCACTGAGATAAAAACAAATGTGTGCTTTCCATTTTAAGACACATATACAGTTTTAAGGCACATATACGGCAAGTCTATAATATTTTTGTGTTCACATTGCAACAATTTAATCAGTCTCTAATAGCAAAATGAAAGAATGAGTCCAAGAGCACCAATCTGCAAATTCTGATGGCCACAGGGCAACCATTTTTGGATTGCCTCATTCACTGACTGATTCTTCCTGCACAGCAGCTTTTGGCCTGCCATTCATTTTTACTATCTATTCTTACATAAGCTTTATATCCTTCGCTTTATATGTTGCATGTCTGCAAGAGTGAGCATTTCACTCTTCCTTCTTAACATTGTTTGTCAGTAAACATTTACATTCTTGAGTACCAGATAAGACAGAGAGATGAATTTTATTTATTCCTTCAAGTAATACATGTGCATATGTACATAATTCAGTATAATAGATATGGAACCAGTTTGACTTTCAGACAATTTTTTACATTCTGTTTTTTATTTTTCTGCTGAAGCACTGATTTCATAAAATATTCTATTGTATGAAACACTATTATCAGGCGAAACACATGCTACGGACAAATGAAAACTCTAAAAAGAGAGAGTTTTCCCAACCCAATTTTCAAAAAGCCAGCAATTCTATTTTAAAAGTAGCAATTATTTATTATAATGCAAATATTTGTGTTGGACTAAAGTAAACTTCTTAAAATAAGTTGATGACCTGAAAATAATTGGGGCATGAATCCTTTAAAGCAATCCATCATCTTTTTTTTTTTTTACGAAATACATTTGGGTGCAGACATTCTCCTAACTTCAAAAAGTATGTTTTTGAAAGAGGCTAAGAAACTTTCACCAGCTCTTTATTCTCAGCCACTATTTGGCCATTTTAACCCTATTTCGTATGCAGATCTCATAGCTGCATTTTGACACCTGACCTCACATCCAAGAGGTCTTGTGTCTTCTTTGAATGATCTCATTTCAGATGCAATGCATGCCCTATCATGTTTCTATGAGCCTTTAAAAGGTTCCTTCTGCCTTGATGTCCAAAAGACCAAGGTTAGTCTTCAACTTGGATTCTGCATGCAACTACACAACTTAGCAGTGACTAGATCAAATCGAATCAAGGTCTTTTTAATAATTCACTCCATACTGAAGCAATAAGCCTGCAGGCAGTTCATAGTTTTAAGTTTTCCATGTGCATGCTATTTCTAGAGCTTGCATCTACTTACCGACATAGCTGCATGGTCATTGTTGTTATTCTGAGAAGGAAACCAGTAAGGCAATCAAAACAAAACAAAACAAAAATTAAAAAGCACTGTCAACATTAAATTGCATTGGGGTAGCAGTCAGAAAGGAAAAGAGTTCTTAAGAAAATAAGCAATAAGCCTGCTAATAAGCTTTGGTTCCAAAAACCTGAGTGGTGGAAGTTACATTTATTATTAGGAACAAAATTCATTTTTTCTATTTCATGGCCATAAGGTTCTTGAGACAATGTACCAAGATAAAAAATCATGCAACAAAACAATCAAAACAAAAATAGACTCAATAGGACTTGATTTAACAGAAAACTTTGGTAAAGGGAAATAGAGCTTCTGCTTGAAGTTATGAAACCAAACAGATGCACAGTTTAAAGGATTAACTCATATTAATTCTCCAGTATGTCATAATAACAAAGTATAGCACTAATACAAGAGCCAGGAGAACAGCTCATTCAACATAAACATTATGTCTCAAAAGACATTTTGAAAACAGTCAGCTGAAAAGTTATTAGAAAAGGTTTTGGATCAAATGCAATTATCATGGTAATTCCAAATACTATGAGTGGGACACAACGTGCTGGGCTGCGGGTAGTCTTTCACTCATGCATACAGATATAAGCTCCTGCTTTCTAGTTGCAGGGCCCCCCACACACACACGCATACAACTGGGGGGGGTCTTCCAGAGAGGTTCTCCATGTAGTGTTCAGAGACGGCATATTACTCCCTTTTTCATATGTATGCAGAGTCACTTTTATTTCCACACACGGGGGGTGGGGGTGGAGTTTGGATCCTGGCCATTATAATCTGCCTGTTACTTAGCTCCTTTATTGAAAATATGTGTGGGAATTGTTTGTGTCTATTCAAGTCACAGCAAGTAATTTCTATAAAAATATTCACACTAAATTGATCGATGCACTACTAAAGAAAGCAAGATACTGCCTTCGACTTCTTTTTTTACACTAAAGCTCTTATCAGTAGATGAATCTAACAAACAATGTACTGAGCAAACATTTAGGGGAACAAAGCTGAAGAAATATACAATAGGGAATCTGCTGGCACCACACCAGCTAAGAGAAGTCTTATGTCTTTATCAGAAATGCCCATACAATACATATGTGTAGTTTTATGTGGGTGTTCTTTATGGTTTAATACATTATATATACTTGTCTTCCACAGAACACTATGAAACAGAAACAGTTTTGAAATTACACCATGTAAAATTCACAGAAAGTTAACTGAACATTTGCGGACAAATGTAAAAACCACATGCTACAAATACTACTTCTTCCATACCATTGACTAGCTTTGATTTTTCACTTCACTTAAGTGACAAGATTCCTGCACATTTTAAAGACACAGATATAATACATAAAAAGTACAAAAGGACTCCTGCTACAATGCAGCTAGATTCTGCTTTATGCTTAAATTAACTCTCCTCTGTACCAAGGATATTTGGTGGAAAGTGTTGTCAAATATCTGCAGGGTTCTAAAGACAAGAGGTGTTCAGAGGTAGTTTCCCATTGCCTGCCACTGTGGAGCAACCCAGAACTTCACTGGTAGTCTCTCATCCAAGTACTATCTAGGGCCAACCTTGCTTAACTTCTGAGACCTTATGAGATCAGGCATACTAATGATGTAACCAGCCCAAAACAAGATGGACTAAGGAAGTTACAAACCTAGTCCACCAGTCAAGATTTGGTAAACATTTCTGCAATACTGCCAGGAGGCCTAAGAACTTGGAGTTAAACTCTTAACATGTTCTCTAGAAGTAAATTTGTCAATATTCTCCATGTAACTTAACTTTAAATGTGAGATTAGACTTTGGTGGCTTTACTAGAAACACTCTCCTAGGAGTATGCTTGGTACAGAACAGTAAGTGGTGCTAGTAGTTCTGCTGTCTGGCAGACTTTAGTGTTAAGGCCAAAGATGTCCAACTAGTACAGGGCTTTCCTCTCTTCTTGATGTACATACTGCCATAGACAAGCCTACTCTGTAAAGCAAATGACAACAGATGGTAAATTATCCATTGTACAACACAAGACAGTCACATGCTTTCAGGTTTCTAGCTAGTGCTTTTAAAGAATGAGGCTTCCCTATGTCCTCTATCTTATTTTGATCCCCAGATACTGAGTAGAGTTTGGGTTCTCTGTCTGCCCACAGGGGCCATCCTGAGTCTTGGGGGGGGGTATTTTGTGTGTGTGTATATGTGCTTGTGAGCCTGGAAGTCATGGTGAGTTCTGGTAACCCCTAATAGGGCTAGGACATTTCAGAGAGGTGGCTTTGATATTACCTGCCTCTGTGTCCCAGCCAGGGTCACCCCTACTTAGCTTCCATGATCTGGCGAGATTGGGCTTGCCTGGGCTATCCAGGTCAGGATGGGCCATCCTGCGTCTTGATTGCCTTCAGATCACATGGAAGGCTGAGCTTTTTTCTTCATTAAGATAGCAACCATTCTTTACAGAAAACATGTGAAATTTATATCACCTTAATTACAAAAAGTGTCAAGAATACTAGAGCATTAGGATCATACCTAATCAGCAAGTGTAACTGCACAGAGTATGCTCCAACAGGCAGAAGAATTAATTGAGCTTCCTGTGTGCTCATTAGGGATGGACACGAAACACATTTTTGAGGTTTGGGTCGTGGTTCGGCTGATTTGTATCAGTTCGTGAGCCAAACAGCTGAGCTCTTTTCTGTGAACCAGCATAAACTGCATCAAAATTCGTGGAAGTTCATGGTGGTTCTTCAGTTTGCAAACAATGCTTCGTGAACCACAAATCGGCCAAAATTTGTGAACTTTAGTTCATCAGCCAATTTGTGTCCATCCCTAGTGCGTATACATTCCAATGGTGTGACTTACTTCTGCTCTACTCCAGTGGTTCCCAACTTTTTTGGTATGGTGACCCATAAGTCCAAATTTATTTGGTGACCTATCCAGGGCTGACCCATGGGGGGGGGGGTTGCTCCCTAGGAGAACTGTGACCTCAGCATCCATCTAGTCCAGCATTGCATTTTCCACAGTGGCGAACCAGATGTTTTTGAAAAACCAACAATTGCACAAAGGGTATGGCTGCCACCAAACTAGTAGCTTTTTGAAGTATACAGCCTTTGCATATAGACAGCTTTCTTTTCCCACTTCTGACAAACAGGCTGGGCTACTGAAAGAACAGCACCGAGACACAGCCTATGTCCATACAACTTCTCTGGTTTTTCCACGGTGCACTGAATAGCTTCTACCCACCCTCCAGCCTTCTTCACGCTACTACCATAAAGTTACTCGTTGCCAGATGGATGGCTCCCCCCCATTATTGTTGCAAAGGAAGGGAGTAATGAGAATGAGAAGCTGGCAAAGAGGAAGAGGAGAAAGAGAGAACAATTTGAAAGCAGGAGAGGCCATTAGTTAGGAATAGCCTACAACCCACTTTCAGAGGCTTCGCAACCCACTTTCGGGTCCTGACCCACAGGTTGGGAAACACTGCTCTACTGTGTACTCTCTTAGCAGCTGTGTGCTCTATTTAGCAGTAAAAAAAAAAAGTGCCACTACCAACTACCTAGGGAGTGCTAGAAGAGTTCATGCTGACTGCAAGCCAGGTTTCTGTCAGTATTTGCAGAAATTGTCATGGCCCAGGAGCAGGGCTTCCCAAACCTATTTTCTTCTATCTTCTCTTTTTCCTCCAACCCCAAACGTTTCTGGGGATATGGAAATATTTGCACAAAATACAAAACTGTCTCAGATAGAGACTTTCTTAATCTACCCCACCAACCTCCAAAAATACCAAACTTCCTGCTGTTCCCATCAGCCCATCTATTCCTGTTTTGATCCTCTCAGAACAAAGACCACACACACACAAGTTTGCAAGAACAAAACATTCTTCATGGTCTGAGCACATTCAGAGCTTGATCTGCACTTGCATCAGTACCATAAATGGAACATCACCACTTCAGACAGCAAGTTGAGGGAATGACATTTTTAATGCTCTGCACAAAAGCCACAGTGTACACCAGAAAACCAGTTTTGGGAATCAGATCTGTGCAAATGACACACATTCATTGGGATGGATCTACCTCTTCAGGGACGCAACAGATCCCAAGATCCTTCCTCTCACACACACACCCAGAACCAGCACTTTTTTCTGGCCTAAGGATTGCTTATTCCCAGTGTTGCAGTACCCACATGGAGTAATAGCTACATGGGCTGGGAGAAATTAGTCAGGAGAGGGAAGTGGGAGAAATCCCATTAGCAGAGCTATGCTGAGAAAAGTGTCAAAAAGGACAATTTGATTGCTGCCCCCTCCACAATTGCAGCCACATGGCTACAGACTTTCCTGCAGACAGAAAGGACTGCTAGGGCAAGGGGAAACGAAGGTCTGTTGACCTGGCCAGACTTTCTGATGGATGAATGGCTGGATCCAACCCGTGGTCCCTGCATGATTTACTGCATGATTACAGAACTGGGAAGCCTACTTATACCAGTATGATGGTTCTAGGACAGATTGCACATGCTACATCATTTGATAAGTTTAGTTATAAAAAAAAAATCTCTTAGGCAAATATAGATTATTGCGATTTTTTAAAATAAATAGAACTCATAATTTTTACTTAGACAGCAGGGGGAAAGGGTTTATATCTTGATGAGTGATTCACAAGGAAAACAGTAAGCACACAGATTTGTTCTCTGCAACACTTGTAATGAAGCCAAAACATTCTTCTTTAACACTACTGAGGTTAGGTGTGCAACTACCAATATTACTGTCCACTTGTTTTGTTCTGAAAAGTTTGATTAAAAGCAGTAAATGGTCAGGTTTTTACAGTGACTTCATAGATTTCTTAATTTATAGCACAGTACTATATGTTTGTGGAGCTGCGGTGGCTCAAGTGGTTAAGACGCTGAACTGCAGGCTGTGGAAGGTCAGTAGTTCAGTGGTTCAAGACCCGGGTGCCGCAATACAGGGTGAGCTCCTGTCTCTAGTTCCAGCTCCTGCCAACCTAGCAGTTCGAAAGCAAGACATTGCAAGTAGATAAATAGGGACCACTTCGGTGGGAAGGTAACAGCGTTCCGTGCGCCTTGGTGTTTAGTCATGCCGGCCACATGACCACGGAAACGTCTTCGGACAGCGCTGGCTCTTCGGCTTTGTAACGGAGATGAGCACCGCAACCCTAGAGTCGGATTCGACTGGCTTTCGAGCAAGGGAACCTTTACCTTTACCTTTACTATATGTTTAGAACTCTCAATGAAAATGTTCCAACCAGTCATTGTTGTTGCCCTTTTCTGCACCACTTCAAACTTTATATCTGTTTATAAGGTGGGACAATCAGAATGCTACTCAGTTTTTCAAGCATGGCCACACGTATATGAGAAGTTTACAAAACCAGCAACTTTATTATCAACCTCTTTCCTAAGAATACCCAGTATAGAATCTGCCTTTTTTTTTACTACCACTACTTACTCAGTCAACATTTTCATTGACCTTGTCAGTCAATGCCAAATCAGACCCTATCAGTTCACATGTAAGGGCAGGATGTCTTGTCACTTTACATACATGGAACCTGATTTGCCACTTTGAAAGTGTTGTATCTAATTGACTGCAGATAATGTAATTAGATACTGGGCCCCTCTAACTTTTGGTGGGGATACCTTACTCTTAGATAACACCATACCTGTATTAGAGTGGGGAGCAAAGACACAGCTAGTGAGGGGAATGGGGCACATGACCCAAGAATACATTCCTAAATCTTCAGCAGCATCACTGTAGAATCTGGGAAGTACTCTTATTCATTATGACCAGAGAGAACATATGCAGCCTTCAATGTGAACAAACCCTGTGACAACAGATAATAAAGTTGGGAGTCCTAGTTCTAAGCAGGAGCATCTTCTTCTCAGGGGCAAAGGTCCCCACAACTGCACCGCCCCTGAAACCTCTTGCACTGGCCATGGTTGCATATGTATCAATGCTAATCCGGAAAGGCATTAACTTGCAGAAAACTCATATTGAAGACACAACCTTAGTGAACTAAATGTTTGGTTGATATACTGTCTAATGTAAACGAGAGACATAGTCAATTTAAGATCTGTGTTTTGTGCCACAGCGTATCATATAATTATATATTTGTAACAAACCTCCAAAGTGTTCCTTGCTGAAATCCTTTAGTATAGTACTACCAAGACTTAACATAAATATTCTCATATAAGACAAGAAAATAGACTGCACTAAAATCAATGTGTCACAGAGAATGGACATAATATTTGTTTTTAAAGCATCTATGGGAAGATGGAAAATGTTGACAAGCTGCAGTCGACTTATGGCAACCCTGTAGGGGTTTCAAAGCAAGCAACTAACAGAGGTGGTTTCCCATTGCCTTCCTCTGTAAAGCATCTATACTATATCTTAAATGAAGTGAAATTTAAATTCATATGCTCAAAAGTTCAAAGTACCTTTTTGTGTGTGTGGGCATTTGTGTGTGTGAGAGAGCGTGCACGTGTGTATTTATGTGCTTGCATGCCTGGAAGTCATGGCAACTTCAGGTGACCCCAGTGGGGTTTGAACATTTTCAGAGAGGTGGCTTGATAGCTTGCCTCTGTGTCCCGCCTGGTATTCCTTGGAGATCTCTCCCAATTACTTGCCAGGGTCGGCTCTGCTTAGCTTTCAAGATCTGACGAGCTCAGTCTTGCTTGGGCTATCCAGGCCAGGGTGTTCAAAGTATGATCTTGAAGGAAAATCTTTTAAAAGAGTCCCACAAACCCAGTGTGGGCTACTGCCATTGTCTATGATCTGGATCTTGCTTACTCTCCGTAATCTAAAGTACTGAAGAAGCCATATAAAAGCTTACTTATGGAAGCAATATTCTTTAAGAGCCGGGTTGCTTTCAATAGCTTGAAAGTATCCTGGAAATATTGCCTGACTGATCGGGAAGCAATCGACAGAATCTAGAATCTTTTCACATGACTGGGAGCTCCTGAGGTCTCTGTGTCCAAATGCAGATGTAACATGCCCATTTCTTAGCTGTGGTTAAAAGGTGGTAAAAGGCCAAGTGCTGACAGACCTGTCACTTCTTGGTTTTAAAAAAATCCTTTTTCCTTTCCCTTGTCATTGTTAAGATAGTATTATACCTGCACTGATGCTAACCAGCATTAGTTTTAGAAACAGCATTTCAAACCAGGGTTTGACTCTGGTTTGCAAATCCTAGTACGAGTCAACCCTCGTAAGCTTCTGTACAGATATACTACTACAGATTACATGGGGGAGGTGAGATATATCATGCAACTCTATGGCTCACTCCTGTTCTCTTAACCATGGGTAAAAAACAGACACAGTTGTTATTTTTCATTTTCTATTTCAAATCATCCTTGCATTGAACATACTAAGACAAACTAATCTACTATCACCTGCATTTTGTATACTTACAGGCAAGTGAGTAAAAACCTGAAAGGTGCTTCTTAAGAAGTTAATCAGGTCCATTAAATAGCCGCTGGCTCTCCCATCTGGTTCAGTCATTGTCCAGTCATAATCAGCAAGCTGAATAAACTCATCAATCTTTTGGTTGAGCTTGGTATAAATCTCCCCTTCGGCAGCATGTCTTGCATCCTGAGGGGTGGGGGAAGATACGGTAAGCACATTTCAAAATGTTACTGATGTGGAGATAATTCCTATAAATGTTAGAGAAGACTCAATGAGATCCAAGAAGAAGGAAAAATCCATTAATGGTTATTTTTTGATCCACATTGTAATACATTGCTTGAAATCAGTCATAGTACAATGATAACTATATTACTAAGATGCTTTATATTTCGGCCTTGGGTTGGAAAGATCACATGCGAGTGCATGGGAAGAACCACACGACTTATGAAAAATACTACACAGCCTTCCACTGGATAGTGTCAAAAACCCAAATCATACCTCTATTTAAAAGGGAAAAAAATCTGTATTGATTTACATTAATTTGCTTGTTGGACCATGATATGGAATTAGGCTTGTCTTTCTGCTTTTGGATACTGCTAATAACCCACTGTTGTACAACTTATATTGATTAGGATGCTTCCTTCCCAAATTCAGGTGATCCAAGGGAAACAATGACATTAAATAGGATCTGAATAAGACCATATTTAATTGTTTTAACAGACAATTAGAACAAGTAAGGTTACAGTTCATAAAAAAATCTTGTTTTAAGGAAACAGTGAATGGGATTATGCATGAGGCAACATAAATGGGACAGAAAAAGAAAATTCTCAGTTATTTTAAACATTATTAACATAAGCTGCTTCTACAAGATGTAGTTAATAACAGCAGAGTGTTCTGAACTGCGGGATGGCTAGATTCATTAAATGAATCCAGCTTTTCCTAAAAAGGTACACTGGGATTAATAAAAAAGGGATTTCCAATTACAAGTGAAGCATGTGCAGTGGTGCCATTTTCTGAGATAAAAATAATAAGTTTAAGTAATATTGAGTGCAGTGGGAGGGAGGAATCTGCAAAGGGTGTGCCCTTATAACCTGGCTGGATTTGTTAGCCGTTAATTCCCCAGGCACTTAGATACCACCAATGACAGTCACAGCAGGACCCACAGACAATTAGATAATGCACATATAAGGTTCAATACAGGAATCTCATTAAGGCTACTGTTTAAACCCAGGATGGAAAAAAATTAACCCAATGCACAGAAATAAGCACCTTAATACTATATTTGGTATATGTATAAGCAATAGACTCAATATTTACAGAATGAAATAAGAAAAATATTTATTGAATAATGAAGGAGGGAATTAAAACTATTACTACCAATTACACCAATGACTTCCACCTATAGCAATTGTTTTTTGCACATTTTATCAAAACAGATTTTGGAATCTGGGCTCTAAAGTTCCATTGAACAATAATTATACTATGACTATGCAACAGATAACAACAGTAACTTTCAATACAACTTTCTCAGACTGTGGAACATAATATCATGAATAAGTAAAGACCAACAACTGTCCATAATAGTTTCATGACTTATATTTGTTCTTCCAAGCTCTAAAATAATAAACATGACAACAGAAGGTACTAGGTAGGGCAAATAAGGAAGGAGGCAGAAAAAGGGAGGTGTTGGGGTGGGAACTGGGGGCAGAGAGAGGACCAAGGAAGAAGAGAACCCGCAGGAGCTGCAAGGGGGAGGGGATTAAGACAGCTAAGGCTTCTTTGGAAGAAGGTGAGAAGGACTAAGAAGGGGAGAAGTTGGTAGTCATGGGAAAGGTAATGGAATGTCCCCTTCCTAAGAGCCCCTGCAGATCACTCTCTTGTATAACTATGACAATAGAAAGCAAAGAAGCATGTTGTGTTCACAAACTGAATTTTGATGTGAACACATAATTTTTTATGTACATGTTAAAAACAAAGTATATATAGCATCCTTTAATGTGACACATAAATAACACCCTGGAAAATTAAATATTCTCATTTACAAAAGTGACTATAAAAGACCAATTTAGTAAATGTTTCATGAGAAAGCAAAAAAGAAGAAAGTGATTGCCACATGTAGCACAGAACTGATATTTCAGCAAGCCCTGGCCTTCATGAATCTGTGGGAAGAGGCAGCAGGGCATCCAGACATGCAGAGATGCAACCAAATACGGAGTGGCCCACCCTACGAGCCTGCAACATTTGTCCTTGCCTTTGTGGGGGTCTAATGATTTAGTGCTCAAGGACACAAGAAATGACAGAGCACACATGCTCAGTTGTGATGATACTGCTGTGCTGCTGAACACAAGAAAATGGTGAAAGGTGACTTTCCAAGAATCTGGTTTGCAGATTATTCAGAATTTCTTGATCATGTCAGTCTTAAATTACAGATATACAAGTGGGGGACCCACAAGGACTTGCAGGGGGAGGGGTTTCATTTCCTCCTATATCCACTCCTCCATATCCTTTCCCATTTCTCTGCTTTCTTCCATCCTTCTCACACACCAGCCAATATACCTGTTATCTGCCACCATCTTCAGCTTTATTTATTTACTTAATTTATCTCACCTTTTTCCACAGCAGGAACCCAAAGCATTCCTCTACTGCATTTACCCATACCACAAGCCTCCAAGGTGAATTAGGTTGAGAATGTGACAGATCACCCGTGATATGAGTGCAATTGTGCGATAGTGCCTCGCACTGCTAGTGTGGAAATCTAGCCACTATACCATGATGGCTTTCCATGCAGTGGCTGTTGTTGAATAATAGCAAACAGCTGGGCCTTCCATTGGTTGCTGTCATTAGTCCTTCCTCAAAGGCAAAACAAGCCTGAAAAGGGCCCTGCCCCTTCTCCCCAGCTTTCACTGGCAAAAGCCAGGGCTTGAAGGCTGACAACACTGTTGTGGTTGCCTAGCAGCCCCCACAATGACCACTGCAGAGGACATTCATTTCTTAAAAGTACAAGTAAATGTACCCTAAAGGTAAATGCTGCTTCTATTTTTTTTGGGGGGGGGGTTAAGCCCCCAAATGAAGGGTTTCTTTTTAAGATTTCAGATTTTTCTGCAAACCTGGAGATTTTCTCATTGGCGATCATTTTATTTGGAAAGACTGGTGATCATTTTATTTGAAAGCAAATACTATATTTACCCTTCAGTATAATTTATATTATATAGATATGGACCTCCAGACCACACTACAACAACTACAATAGGTGAATCTGTTGCACAAGAAAAAACGCTATGTATGTGCTGTTTTGGCTTTCACTGGCTTTATAGTTTGCCCTACTTTTAAAATTAATTGCAGCATTACAGTGTCCCCAAGGCTGAAAATACATAAGCATCATGAGAAATACAAGCAGGATGTTTTTATCCTAACTTTACCCTTCTTTAAAATATTGATGTCAGAGATTAGCAATGGAATTTGATAGGCTTAGTTTTACATTTAGTTACAAAATAAAAAGTACTGAAGACAGGACTAGTCTCAGAAGGAATAATCCTCTTTAGTTTGTCAGTCTGTGAAATCCTGTCCTTTTTGGGTGTATTCACAATCAGGTAATGACTTGGAATTTAAGATACCAATATCCTGGAACCAATTGAAGCTTTCTTTAAACCTATGTTACAAAACATTTAAAGCACACAGGAATACAAATATATTATACATAAACTGTATGAAACTACACTATTCGCTACACTGACATTTGGCAAATATTCTTCATTAAAATAAAAAAATTAAAATTCCTTTCCCTCTTGGAAATACAGCTAAGTACTACAGATTTTTTTCCCCTCCCAACCCCCCATACTACCTGGCATTTGTTTTTTAAACTGAAGGAGGTTTCAAAAGGAGCTTCAGAGTAGGGTGGGGCTAGCACAAGCCAACAAATGAGCCTATGCCAACTGATTTGGGACTAAATCTCATGGAAAACAGAGGTATTTAATTCCGAGTAAGCATATGGAGAATTGGGCTACAAGCAGCTTTCTGAATCTCCAGATTATTCATAATCTCTACATGTCATGCTATTTTTGTGCCAAATCACATCATTTTGCTTGTCTGTTAAAAAACAAAACAACATATATGGCAGGGGAATATTCATACTAATTCAATTATTTTGCGGTAAACAAATAAATAATCTGCACTGCCTTTTAAGGCCAGAATGGGGGGGGGGGTTGTGCTCTACTCCCCTCTTGAGAAAAGTTTGCCAGAGGTTTTTTCTAATGCCTCCGAGGGAAGAGGTTCTATAGAAACACCACCAACTCCCAAGACAGTTTTATGCCAGTGGAAATCCTTTCTGCAGACAAGGGATCAGAGAATGCCTCTTTCCCCAAGTCTTGACCCCAGAAGAAACGAGGTTGAAAGCTGTAAACAGGCAGTGCAAAGGGCAGGTCTAAGGGGAACAGCATGTCTGCCTCTATAAGGCATGCGATGCCAGAACAACGATCCCACTGGACCCTACTCTAACTCAAAAACCACTTACAGCAGCCCACTTAGAGTCCAGAAACATAAAGTTGCTGTTCTTAAAGCCAGCCACTCTACCCCCCGTCAAACATTCTTTCTTATGGAAACTTCACAATGCTATGCCATTGGAAATGTACATTTCTTCGTTAATGAACAACATGTATAATCAAGTCTAAGAAATGTGTAGGTGTAAGTTAGAAGATGTCGGGCAAAAACAGATTCTCAGTTTGCCTCCTCCCAGATATGACCCCATCGATATCTAAAATGGCACACAGTTTACCATGGATTAACCTTAATGAGATTATGCCACTTTAAATTAAGCCAATACTCTGAAAGCGATGACATGTATATCATAACAATAATGAGCTCATCATGTATTTAGGTTCACCATGGAACTGGCTGTTCTTGTCCTCAGTGGCACAGTAAGTTTACAGGGAAAGGAACGATTATGCTAGTTCTATATATTATTTATGGACTGCACTATGCACATGAACCATCCACGGAGAGAAACCGTGAAGCAGTTGCTGCATCAGCTGTTACCAAGAACACCTGAAAGGCTTCAGAGACTCCTGGCTTTAGAAATCATGTTGGGAATCAGACTACATTGAATTGGGTAGATTCTGAAATGCCACGAAGTCGCAGCTGACTTACGATGACCCCATAGGATTTTCAAGGCAAGAGATGAACAGAGGTGGTTTTGCCTTTGCTTGCCTCTGTGCCGCGTGACCCTGGACTTCCTTGGTGGTCTCCCATCCAAGTACCCCCTAGGGCCATCCTCGCTTAGCTTCTGAGATCTGATGAGACCAGGCCAGCCTGGAACATCCAGGTCATGGTTTTGGAAACGTTAAAATGCCATTTAGGGGTTCCCAGTGGAGGGTAGTGTGTGTGCAAAGAGACTCAAGGCTGAAATTCAGAAAGGAACATCTCCAAAATGTGGATGTTCCTTTCTGAATTTCAGCTGTAAGTCTCCTTCCCTTCCTGAGTAGTTTGGTGTAGTGGTTAACTATGCGGACTCTAATCTGGGAGAACCGGGTTTGATTCCCCACTTGCACCTGGCTGGATGACCTTGGGCAAGCCATAGTTCTGATAAGAGCTGTCCTTGAAAAAAAGCAGTTTCTGTCAGAGCTCTCACAGCCCCACCTACCTCACAGGGTGTCTGTTGTGGGGAGGGGAGGGGAAGGGAAAGGAGTTTGTAAGCCGCTCTGAGACACCTTTGGGTAGTGAAGGACAGGCTATAAATCATCATCATCATCCTCCTCCTCCTCCTCCTCCTCCTCCTCCCCATATTAACTAACAGTTTACACGGATCATAAAGGATACTGCCCCATGCAGGGGAATAAATGCAGTCAAACCAGAGAATTCAGAAACCTTTCATCTGACCTGAGGGCCTCTACCCTTAAGCAAAAGAAAGAAAAGTCCCCCAAATTGTTGGATGTTTATGACACTATTCTACTGTACTGGAAAGTGGCACCTTTAAGACCAAGTTTTATTCAGGTACAAGCTCTCCCTCCTCTGCGAGGACAGATCTGTACTCCCCCCCCCAATAGCTAGCAATCCAAAACAGTCCAGTGGTGTCTGAGCGGTGGGTGTTGCCTTTTGACACACTTCCAGTGATGTCAGGAGGTGTGGCATATGCAAATAAGTTATAATAATAAGTTATGCTAATGAGCTCCTGCACCTCTTTTTCTACTAAATGACCCCTGCTTAGCATTACTTTAGGGCCAGCCCTCTATCAACTTTGGTCAAGGTGTCCCAAGTCATAAGAATGTAACAACTGCTCTCCTGGTCCAGACCAAAGGTTAAATTGATCCAGACCTCTCTTCAGCAGTAGTTTTCCAGATGCTCCAAGGAAGATCAAAAATAAAGTGTGGTTGAGGTGCATTATTTTGCATTATTCTCCAGCCGCTGATAATCACACATTAGCACACCCTTCTGAGTATGGAGGCTTGCTGAAACTATAATGTGGCCATCTGATGCATTTGAAACTTATACCCCAAACACAGAATCAAAGTATGAAGCACCTAGAAAAGAAGAAAAGAGTTCCCGAGATTGGAACCTTAGTACTCTGAAATGGCAATGTTTCACATACCTTAAACGTTGAAAGACCATAAAGCCTTGCTGTGTGAACAGTTTCCTGGGAAATATTTGTAATATTTGTTATAAAGTCCTCAAGGTATTTACATGCTTGCTCCAAATGTGTTGTGTTTATGATAATTTGTACCAGCTGAAAGAGAAAAGAGCAAGTTAAGGTAAAAATGACATTTTTCTAAGGCAGAATATTTGTAATGTTTTATCAATTGTACTATCCTATGCAAATGGGATTACCGTTCCCAGGTGGGGGCACGGGATCCCCCTCTTTCATGGGCTCCTGCCTGCTGGCGGCCAGCTGGCCAATGGGAGGGAATTCCCCCCACTCCAAACAGCGATGTTGTGCACAACACACTGATGTCACCCGGAAGTGATGTAGGCATGTTGGTGATAGGGGTGGTGGTGGTGATGCTCTGATTTTTGGGCAAAACTCTATGGTTTGAGGGAGATTTTACTATAGAGTTTTTCCCCAAAACCAGAGTGTCGCCCCCAATCTCATCAGCAGGCCTACATCACTTCTGGAACACACAACCTCCCGAATCCCCCTACCAGCATGACGATCGGACCAGGCAACCCTATATGCAAAAGTTCCAAATCTGAATGGGCTATAATAAAGAATAAAAAGATGTCAGATAGTACATTTCAGCTTTTCTATCTTCGGGGAACTCATTCCACACTGGCTTACCTATCAAAGAACCTCCATGTCCCTGCCACAGAATACCTGTGTATCGCAAGAGATGCCATATCCTACATTTCACATTCAGAGCCTGTGGGATGCTCGTAATGTTGAGCTTTATTCACCTTGTATGAATTCAGTGCACATTCTAGAATGCACCCAAAACTCTCCCTATGACTGCAAGTTGCTGTAATATCAAATGCATATCAATGGAGCTTATTATTCTTTATTGTCTGTCAGCTATGCTGTCATAAGGGTTGGGGGTGTCTCAAGTATCACTGCATTCTTTCTTTGCTTCTGTAATGCTTGCTTATCTATGGTCTTTCAGGTGGTGTGAATTGTTTGGACTTCAGGGAACCGTGGGAGCGCTTTCGGTTCTCAGCTTTGGCTCTAACGGCCTGGGGCTCCTTCTCCCGCGTGCGGGAATGTGGCTAATTGGCCTAAGGAAGGGGGGATGCATACGAATACCCTATATCCCATTATGCTTGTAGGGGAGACGCCATTCTTAACGATGGCCTTGTTAATGCATCTATAGATCTGCAATAAAGTATAACCTTTCTATCTTCAGGGGAACTCATTCCACACTGGCTTATCTATCAAATAACCTCCATGTCCCTGCCACAGAATACCTGTGTATCGCAAGAGATGCCATATCCTACATTTCACATTCAGAGCCTGTGGGATGCTCGTAATGTTGAGCTTTATTCACCTTGTATGAATTCAGTGCACATTCTAGAATGCACCCAAAACTCTCCCTATGACTGCAAGATGCTGTAATATCAAATGCATATCAATGGAGCTTATTATTCTTTATTGTCTGTCAGCTATGCTGTCATAAGGGTTGGGGGTGTCTCAAGTATCGCTGCATTCTTTCTTTGCTTCTGTAACGCTTGCTTATCTATGGTCTTGCATTTTTGCACTTCAGGGAACCGTGGGAGCGCTTTCGGTTCTCAGCTTTGGCTCTAACGGCCTGGGGCTCCTTCTCCCGCGTGCGGGAATGTGGCTAATTGGCCTAAGGAAGGGGGGATGCATACGAATACCCTATATCCCATTATGCTTGTAGGGGAGACGCCATTCTTAACGATGGCCTTGTTAATGCATCTATAGATCTGCAATAAAGTATAACCTTTCTGATAAGCGTGTACTCGATTGCTGGCCGTGGAACCTGACATTGTCATTGGGAAGCTTCTGAGAAACAATGAGATTCCCTGGAATACACTGGAAACCACTGAAGTGCACAATATAGCACACTTTATGCAAAGACGTGTCTCTCCCTTTACTTACCTCTGTCAAACCTATGTGAGGCTTTTTGATGAGGTTTTGTAAACAACTGCTTAAAGTTCTAGTCAGCAGCAAGTTTGTAGACTTTCTAAGCATATCATCTATTTCTGTTGAACTGAAAAACAAAGTTTGAGTTAAGGTGCATGATGAAAATTGCCAACAAGACCATTAAACAATCATCCAGTCTTTTGAAAAATTAAAGGGGCAGAACACAAAATGCTCTACCTCTTACCACTACAGATAAATTTAGAATTTCAACAACCATTCCATATGCAAAAGAACCTCCTCAGGCAAGCTCCTCCATTAGCATGTCACAGCCTGGGAATCTCCTACAAGATAATGACTCAGCCCTACCCCACCTTCCTGAGTAGATATAAATTGCCATTTTTCTTCTCACACTGACACAGAGAGTACTCCATCTTTCTGTGTTATATCTCTGAGGATGCCAGTCACAGCTGCTGGCAAAACATCAGGTATTATAATACCAAGACCACGACCATACAGCCCAGAAAATCTACAACAACTAATGAACTCTGGCCTTTGACAACATATATATTGATGTTTCCTCAAAATTTGCGAAGTATTATTCTACACTTAATTAGGGCTGTGAGGATCAATTTTGCTAGGCATTGGAAACAAGAATCAGCACCTAGAATCCAAGAATGAATAGGAAAAAAGTAAAGAGATTTATCACTTGATTAAACTGATGGCCTTAAAGAATGGGAAAAATCTACAGCAGATTAAGTCAACTTGGAAACCAATTATTCAAAACTATTTTGCTGAATAGGGACTTTTTATATACAAAAAATGAAACAAAATATTGAACAAACAAGACAAATGTGTAAGTAAATAAAGAACCTCAATGACAAGAAAAAGTTATGAGCCATAGAAGCATTAACACTTACACTATGGTTCTAATGTCAACTAATATTTTAAAGATAAGCTTAATGCAATTTGAAATAAAGAGAATAAAATGTACAACTCCAAAATCCAGCATCTTAATACTGTCAAATATTAGACAATATTAGAACATTGTTTCTATTTGACATACCTCACCAGTGGAATACTCCCAACCTTTAACATAACTTTCAGAACTCTGCAAAATGCAGCTTAATCCTAGGCCCAGTTAGATGGCTGCTGCTATGTCAAAGCTTTCACCAGCCAATTGGAAGCCTACACTCCCCCATCAACACCAAAAACATGGTAATTATAGGGGGGGAGAAACTAACAGCAACAACTGTTACTCCTGCAGAATTTGTGGAAATTAGATTGACGTTCATCAGTCACACTGATGCTCTTTTAACAGTGAAAGCTCCAGTCAATGGAACTAGGTGCATACAAACTGTACATGCACAGGCCTCGTTCCCAAGACTGAGAGTGTTAGAAAAAAGCAGGTCTCCCAATAACTTTTTGCAAGGGAGAAGAAGAATGACTGTCACAAGAGCAAAGTCCCAGGAGGCAAAAGGGTCATTAAGCCTTTTAGTTAAGGGAAATGAAGGTCGGAGGAAAACTCAGATGATGCTGAAATGAACTTTTCACAGCAAATCCTACCTTTTAAGAGTGCTGCATGCAGTGATAACTTCAACTTTATTGTAATTTATTGTTTTAATTATGTATTATTGTTTTAACCTTGGCACATGGTGCCCTTGTGAGCCGCCCTGAGCCTTCGGGGTAGGGCGGGATATAAATTCAAATATAAATAAAATAAATAAATAAATATAAGAGGCAAAAGGAACAGGCAGTACTCCTCCACTGCAGAGGAGACTGCAGACAAAGGACTAACAAATTACATGTGCTTCTTAGTCTCCAAAGACTTCTCTCATGACAAACTCCCTTCTCTCCCTACCGTAGGGTTGCCACCTCTGGGCCGGGAAATTCCTGGAGATTTGGAGGGCTGAGCGGAGTTTGGGGGAAGGAACCCCAGCGGGATAAAATGTCATGGAGTCCACCTTCCAAAGCAGCCATTTTCTCCAGGAGAACTGAACTCTGTAGCCCGGAGAGCTGTTCTAATTCCAGGAGATCTCCAGCCACCACCAGAAAGCTGACAACCCTACTATACCCCCAATCAACCCAGGGTTACTGCCCAGGTCTTAAAGGGGCTCTGTATGATGGAACCATTGCTCAGTAGAGCAGTGGCACAAATACTGCCACCCAAGTGATCCCAAGTTTAATCCCCCAGTTACAGATTTCCCAAGAGAAAGCAGCTGGGAAGTCACAGACAGTCCATCATGGCAGCCCAAATGACTATCCTTCCAAAAGTCAGCGGTAGGTGGAACATTTCTTAACAATACTTTAAACGATTATGCTCCTTTTAGCTTTCATTTGGCCTTTGCCCCTTGGGATTTTCTATTCCTACCATATCCTTGTGGAGCTGTCCCAAACGACATATAGCGTCAAACATACGAATACTGAATTATTTCCACAGACACAATGAAAGCTCTTTTTGAATTACCTTCTAAACTTTTTTTGATAATCACATAGGAGATTGTTCAGAAGAGCACTTCAGGCATGCTTTGTTAAAAGTTTGACAAAATTTAATACATGCATGGGTGTAATACGAGCTGTTTGTTTGCATTATAATTGGGAAAATTAATTAGTTCCTGTTTAGATATGGAGACCAAAAGGCAGTAAATACACCTTATTAGTTCAGTAAATGTGAAAGGAGGCTAATTTACAATTGTCAACAGTGCACAGCTGGATGACAAAGTGGAAATAGCTTCCAGATTTCAGCAAGCAAAACAACTGAACATTTTATCCAGCTAAAGGCAATTTTTCTTTAAAGATCAGCAAAAATGGAAACCTTTACTGCAACAACGTAAAGCTCCCTTTGTATATACTTTGCCCATCTATTAGAAATTAAATCCCTCACTATTCTGAATGGCTTTAAAAAGAAAGGTGATACTGAATGGGGAGAAACAAAGATAGGATGAAGATAATTATTAATGATAAACTCAAGAACAAAATATTATTTCTACATATGATGGCTATTAAAAAAACAAACCAGTTCGGAAAGTAAAAGAAAACACAATCCACAACTCAGGGATGCAAATACAAGGCCAAAACCAGGAAGTGGGCCATGTAGATCCTGGAGTCAAAAATACAGCTGCATACTGAAACTCCAGATCACTCCACAGGTTAACTCCATTCAATTCCAGTCATGCTGCAAGCTCACTGGTAACTGCACATTCCTGGGGTGATTTTATGGGGGCAACCAACTATATGAGTTAGTCCTAGACATTAAAAGCTTTATCTGGCAGTACTATCATTATTAGGTAGCAAGCATCACATCACGCTCACAATACGTTCTCATCCCTGTTTTGAAAACACAGACTGGATTAATGCACTGAGGTTAGCTGTACAACCTGCTTCTGTGAATGCTTACCTGCGGTGAAGTGATTCTGAAAACTTAAGGCTTGCATAAATGAATTCTTTAACCTGGATATAAATTTGAGGCACTGACTGAGACATTGGAAGTTTCTTTGGAAAGCACTGCTGTGGAAACAAAGAATTCAGTGCCATGTTATACTCAATTTCAAACTGATGGGGCAGAAAAGATAGTGTTATCCAATGTTAAACTATGTCCGATATCTGTGGTTCACTGTTGCATTCCATTTTGCAATGTGCAAAACATATTAATAATCTTTTCTTCATATAAAATCATTACAGTATTTACACGTCTTCATGCCTGGAACTATGACTTACTATCAAATTACAAAGAAGACAGTTGCGTGTTCTGAATTTTGTAAATAGAAAAACAAAAAACAGTATGGAAGGTTTTTCCCTAATTCCTTCAGGAACTTCCCAGGTATCAAATTCCACTTTTGTCTACTGCTTTTCCAATCAGTTCCAAAGATCAGATTCCAAAAGCTCAATGGCTACTGTTATCAGTGTAACGCCTGAAAATGTTGATGAGGGATAAAGGGAACTCACACAAAAAGAAGTTGGGATGCAAAAGGATAGCATGTGTATAATCCCATAAGCCATACTCAAATCCTTAAGAGCTGAGCATCCTGGCCACAAAGGGGATCTACACAGTAGAGGGGACAAACATAGAATACAGACACCCTCCTAAGTGAGTGGAAGGCAGTCACAGATGTGGAATTTCCTGTTTCCACAAATCCCTCCTCTTCAGCGGTTGGTTGCCATCTCTCACAGAATTCTGGCATGTCTCTCCACCATCTAGAATGCTTTTCAGTGACTCAGGGAATGCACAAAAGCTCTGTTCAAAGATGCAACTCACTGAGAATAAAATATAGACACTAGTACTGTGCTGTAATCCAGAATCCTAATGTATGAGATTAAAACCTCTTCTAGTACACAAGAGGAACTCTGTTATGATAGTCACAATGTACTACCACCTAGAATTAATTACAAATGAGTAATATTCAATATTTATTTGTATCCCAAATGTCTCCAAAGGTTCCAGCTGCTAAACAGCATGGAATTCAATAAACCAGGAAAATGTAAGTCAACAACGTTAATACAGGCCTGACAATGACAATAAAATACAACTACAATCCTAATACAGTCCTCAACGTTAATCATAAAAGAATGGCCCAAACAAAAAGCCCTCCCAGAGGGTAGCCTTGCATACCTTCCAATGGCCAGGAAGAGCCCAGATTAAACAAAGGAGGAACCATCATAAAGAATCGTAGTTTATTTCTTTAAAAAATACTTTTGAGCCTGCAATACCATCTCAAGAGTTAATACATATTACGGTTTACCTAAAACAGTTGGATCACTGAATTCTCTAACTAGTGCAGTTTATTTACATAAGAAAAATCAGATTCAAGAACTGCTCAAGCGCACGTCATCATTTAGACTCTGCATGTGTGTCTTAAGTGCCCTCAAGTCATTTCCGACTTACAGAGACCCTACGAGCTAATGACCCTCAAATGACTCTAACACTCCTTAACTCATTTTAAAGGCAGCATAATATATATACTCACCTTATCAAGTTCTGGATCTTGAAAGGGAAATTTGCTAATAACTATTTTGTACTCCTCTTCATTTGAGACAGGTATTGGGCTGTAATTATCTGCTTCAAAAATATCCCTGCATAATTAAATGAACAGATTAGGAACATAAATTCTCAAACACACTATAAACATGACAATAGCGAAACAATATGCGTACAACGGGAAGTAAGCAACTCTTGTCCCGTTACTTGCTTTCAAAAGTATTATCAGGCACATGCTGAGCTCAGGTGTCATGGAAAGCTCATTAACATTGTCAGCATGCAGAGCTGAGCCGCTTAACAGAAAATGCTGTGAACTGCTGGTGGAAAGGGCTGCAAAGAGGCAGCAGTATCACAACAGTGACGATACTAGGGCTAACTGTGAAAGAACGGTGTGTGCTAAGTGTGGAATAGGTAGTGGGTACAAATGGATATTGCAGACAAAACCCATCTGTATATGTTCATGGTTCCTTTGTTTTCTTTGCATAACTTACAGAGCAATCGTAGGCAGAGTTACTCCAGTCTAAACCCACTGAAATCAGTGTTTAGATAAGAGTAGCTCTGTCTAGGACTGCACTCTTAGACTGCTTTTGCTGGACATATGGATATGTAAGATGCTAATGCAAGGGCACTGCAACCCTGCACGGAGACCACTGGAAGACTTCACAGCAAGAAATTCACACATTTTTTTCCACCGTATCTTCGTAGCAATAAGGACTCAAGCTGAAAGCCTGCAGGTTGAATCCTGTGTCCAGTACCAAATTAAAGCTCAATATGGAATACACACAGGTCAGAGTATTATGCCAGGGCAACGAGCTGCACAAGACATGCAATTTTAGCTCTGATTCTGCTGATTAATTCTTCAGATTCTCTAAACTGTTAACATTTTAGAATACCAAGAGCACCTCAAGAACTGGAAACTGAAAGATTCCAGCGTATAGCTATCAAAGAAATAACCAAAATCATGTAACATTGCTTTGAAAGTATTCTCATTTTACAAGACTAACCTGAACAACACAGCCCATTTTTTAAGCAGAGTTTCATTATACTGGTCTCTTATTTCAAACAAGAGATCAAATAGTCTGTTCACAGGAAAACCATAACCCTAAAAGAAAAGAAAAATTGATAAAGAAGCACAGCAACATTCAAAGACTAGAGTCGCGCAGACAGAAATTTAGCTAACAAGGTCTACCAGGCAAAAGTTAAAATTCCTTCCACAACCAACCAATCTTCATAGCAGCAACGGCAAAAAGTGAGACTCTATACGTAACATATGCATCAGTATCAGAAAGCAAAAATATTAGTTTCTCAGTGTCTGCATACAAGGTTAAGCCAAATAAAATTCCGGCCAAAAACTTAGACCTAGGGTCAGAATATAAAGCCGAAGTGGTACCTATTTATCTACTTATATAACAAGGTAAATCCTCTAATGTGTGAGATCCACACATACAGACTCTTTGGGTCACTGGAATCTGAGAATAACAACCGGACAATATTGCCATGGGAATACATTGAAATCCCAGTAAAGCAAAGGACACTCTAAGATTATGGTTAGAGATGTTAACAAGATAGGGAGTTCGTAAATGGTCAAGTTTAATAAACTTGAACCACGGTATTGCTTTTGAGTTTAAAATTAGAGATTCAGAGTTAAAAATCCAATCCCTAAATGGGGGTGAGCAGCAGAAGACCCTATGAGATTGCCAGGGATAGAATGCCTTAAGAGGATATTAAGGAAAGCAGAACACTGCGAACTATTGGCCATCAAAATATTAAAGACTTGTTGACTAAGTGATTTATATCTAAAGGTCATAGGAGAATCTCTCCCCTCCATGCATGAGGATGGCCACCTTTGTCTCGTGATTATGTGCCTCCCTTCGTTCTTGCATTCTGTGCCCTGGTTTAAAATCTGGCAGTGGGGAGTGGAAAATCTGGC